CCGTGCGGGGCTCCTTGCAGGGCCTCGGGCAGAGAAAGGTCCGTTTGAACTGAGCAGCATCGGACACTCGAGTTAGCCTGACTCCGGGTGACCTCTGCGGGCTGCGCTATTGCTCTCCCACTTCAACTTGGGGGTATTTTTGTTTCGTTGATTCGATTTGGGCTGAACAAGGCCTGTTCGTGAGCACCACTGCGTCTTGCGGGTTCTCTTCGTCCTCCCGCAGCTGCCTTGCCGGGCTCGGCCTGTCCTGCAGGTGGCTGTGCCTGCGGCAGAGCTTGGTTCTGCTTTTGTGTGGGAACTGACTTTTGTGTGGCACCTGACTAGCTCCTGGCAGGACACTGCCTGCGAGGCAGTGCTAGTGGGAAATTACTGATGAGTTGCTGTATGTCAGTGCTCTTGAAAAAATAGTAGATACTTTGCATTTTATAAATTCTCTGCTTGGTTGAGCAGATGAGGCATGGGGAAGTAGGAGCAGTGAGTGGTGGAGGGAGCTGGAGCACTGATGTGAAGAAGCATGAGGTGGTTGATACCTCCTCCTAGATGTTTTAAGGGAAGATTTGTCATTGCATACAGGGTGCCCGAGTGACATAGTGTCAGAGTCCTGTGTAGCTGTATAGTAAGTTGGGTTTAAATAAGCTGATGTTTCCTGGCAACAGCTGCTTGATGCTGCTGCTAATTAAATGTGCAAATACTGCCTAGCAGTGTAAAAAATGGGCATGTAAACTTACAGATAGGTAAGCGAAGTCCATGAATTGTGTTTGCTTGATGCCTTTTTGCAGAAGACTGTACTCAACAGGTGTATTTTAGCTTTTTTTTTTTTAATGAAATGAATGTTACAACATTCTTCAGACTGTTTGTTTGTTTGTTTTATCTCTTCCGTGAAATAAGAGTGCAATAATATTTGTATTTCTTCCAGGGCCTGTGGAAAGAAAGGTGCTTGTGAATCTTCAGAAGTTAGATGTGGCTCAAGATAGTCTGGGCAACTATGGTTTCTTCACATTGGTTTACAATCAAGGCTTTGAAATTGTGATAAATGGTTACAAGTGGTTTGCATTTTTTAAGGTGAGTTGACTTGGTGTGTTCTGCATCACTGACTGTTGTTAGGCTTCTGTGTAGTCACTGGGTGCTCTGTTGGGGCAGCTGGAAGACTTGGTTATCTTTGGCTCTGCTGTTTACCTGGGTTACCAGGTACAGGACTTAAATTTTTAATTTAAGAAAACAGTTGTCAGTGGCTGGGTAGGGAGCAGAGGGAGGGAAGATATTCCACACGGGGCATTATATGAAAAATCTGTTGCAGATGCTTCTGTCTTCTCTTGAGAGATACTTAAAGCAATTGAAGGCCTTCATGAAGCTTACTCCCAGAAGCCTGGAATATTTTTTTTTTTCCAGTTTTCTTCCTGACACCATGGCCTGAAGTGATGTAGCAAGCATTGTTGCTTTTATCTTTCCTTAAAGTTGTTCTCCTGTGCACAAAAACTTCAGAAAGGCCTTGCTGGTGGTTTTCTAGGATCTTCAGATTTTATTCCCACATACTACCTTTAAGATCTAAAGAACCTTTCTGCTGCCTGTAATTGTTCTTTTGCAGTAATACTGTTATCTCCAGTCCCTGTTAATGACTTCAGATCAAGAAGAAAAGGGTGCTAGTAGGCAGGGGGTAGACAGGAGAAATCCCGCTCACTAACGAGTGCTCTGCTGCTGTCCTGAGGGATGGCATTATGAATTTAGAGGGTGGCTTGAAGCATCTCTACAGGATAGCTTTGCTACCCGGGAGACATGTTTTGTGCAGCAAGACTGCTCAGTATCTGCAGCCCTTGGCAAGAGCAGTGAACATGTTTTTTGGTCATTTCAGGAAGCGTGGCCTTGGGTCTAGCTTTGGAGGAGCTGTTGGTAAACAGCCAGGCCTTGTTCAAGCATAAAATTCCTAAAACTTGGCTGGTAGTAAGGAGGGTGAAGATAAGACTTTGGCTTTAAACTGTCTTTCTGGGAGCCATTGTAGATGGCCTATTTCAACACGGTATTTTCAAGTCTGTGTTTTCAGATGTTAACAGAAGTGAATGATCCACTCTTCCAGGAGAACTGTAGTCCTTGCAGGATAGAAACAATGTATGAGGCTTCAGTTAAAAGGCACCTTCCTCCTTGCTGACTTCACTTAAATAAAGGGAAAGGGCCATTGTAGGTTGTTTTACCACAGGAATGGTGAAGTTTTTTACATATTCAAGCCCCAGGAGTCAGCTAAGCGCCATGATGGAAAGGTAAAGTGTGAAAAGTTGACGATTAAGATAAAGGTAATTTAATAGGTAAAGGCAAAACTGTGTATGCAAGCAAACCAAAATATGGAGTTTATTCCCTACTTGCTACCAGCAGGCATGTGTTTAGCAATTTCCAGGAAAGCAGGGCTTCATCACCCGTGATTGTTACTTGGGAAGGCAGATGCCATAATTCTGAATGTCCCCCTTGTTTCCTCCTTTCCCCAGTTTACATTGCTGAGCATGATGTTGTGTGGTAGGTGTGGAGTAGCTCTTTGGTCAGGTGGAGTCAGCTGCTGTGCCTGTGTCACCTCACAACTTCTTGTGCACCTCCAGCCTGCTCGCTTCAATAAAATTACTTAAATAAAATTAACTGACAAAATAGTGCACTCTTACAACTAAATTATTAAAATAAGGATGCTTCTGTGTTTGTCTTAGACTCAAGCAAGAGCAAAATGTGAGGGGAGAAATAATTGATTGTTCTCTCATCTGTGTAAGGAAGTGACATGAAATTGCCATGATGTTTTCTCCTCATAGGTTTGGTAGGTGGTACAGCAACAGCTACAGACACTGAAGGGTACTCTAATGGGGCAGAATTACCTTGAACTTCTAAGGCAGGGACACCTCTGGGAGCTGCCCTACAGTGGCTGCTTCAAATGGGGCAGGAACTGCTGCCTCCCTGAGGACAGTGGAACACTGCATGTTGTAGTATGGTCCAGGAACTCGACTTGAGGTGTCACATGTGGTGGGTGGAATTTGGGAGTCACTGCTGGCCTTGGTGGACTCCTCTGCAAGTTGAACTCTCAAACAGGGAATCCTTAGGTTATTTTACACTGAAATGCAGAGCTGCTTTACAAGCCGGTGTGGCGAGCAGTTGTAACAAGTGTTGATTGTTAAACTAATTCTTGAATGTGAGGAATTTAATCGTAGAACCAGTGAGTGGCCAGCTCTGGTGTGTGAGTGGAGCTGTTAGGCACCAGCTTGAAGACAGCCGAGAGTCACAGAAGGCATTACTCCTGCTATCTGTACCTTGTGAAATACATACTTGGAAGATGAGCACTAAGTCAAGTCGCTCGTAAGTGCTGATGTCATGTATTCCTCAGTGCTAATGAAAACAAATGCATTGATTTACAGGTGTATTAAAAAATATGCCAAAACTATGTTACAGAATAATTTAGGCTGGAAGGAACTTCTGGGGGTGATCTGATTCAGCTTGCTGCTCAAAACAAAGTCAGTCAAATACACACTTGTGCAGTAGCAATGCACAACAGCTTGAATTTCATGGTCACGAGTGTGTCTTAGTCCTTTGTAGGCAAATGGATTGTTTTGCAGTTGCTTTTGGTATTGAGAAATAGTGAGCTTGTTTGGCTCGTTGTTCAATAGTAGGGAATCCATCTGCAAGACATGTTTAAATTAACATGCTTAAATTAACATCTTCTTTCATTAAAAATTATAGAGAGGATTAGCACACGATTCAATTACCTTCTCTGTAATTTTGCTGCTGTAAAGGAAAAAGCAGATTACGAAGGTGCAAGTATAGTGGCCAAGAAGCCTGAGGAAATATCACAGCACTTAGTAAATGCTTTTTTTTTCCGCAGGCAACAAGTTGACTTCATTAGGCAACAACTTACAATACTGTCTTATCCATAAAACTGTTATTTCACAATCATCAGTGGGGACTTCCAGGGTAATAAATGCTTCCTTATGAACTGCTGGACCTTGGGACCTATTTTGATACGTGTATCTGTTTATTTTTAATCCATTAAATATTGCATTACTCATGAAACAGAAATATAAAATATCTGGTCCTCGTATAAACTGAGAATGTGTTTTTTTCTATCCAATGGAGCTAACACGCTTTTAAGACCTATTCCATCATCTTCTACTGTAAAGCTTCTAGGGGAGAACTAATATGTTCAGTTCCATGCATAACTGAGAGGTTTTTGAATAAAGACTGACTGTTGTTTAAAGTACTCCTACCATTTGCACCTGAAAGGAACATAAACATGGCAGACTTGATTTGCTTAGTGTTGGTTGCAGTCCTAAAGCCCTTGGAGTAAAATAGGGTAAACCAGAACAGTAATTGGTGAGGGCCTTCCTTCCTGGGAATTCAGCAAGAGGAAAGCATATGAAGCAGTCTCAGAGAATATTGCTTAGCCGTGACTGCTGTTGAGAAAGTGGAAAGTCATTAGACAAAGTCCCTTTGCAGTTCATGGAAAGGAAGAATCATCTTTGTTGTCAGTGTCTTGCTATATAGCAAGAAGGTGTGGAACTATAATATAGGGTAATTTGCTATTGTTTTTACCGCTTGGTGGAGTTAGTTTCACTCTGAGATGACCTTCTAGTTTGAGCACTGCTCTGGAGTTACCACTCGATGGTGGAATAACTTCTTGGTTCATGGAGCAGCTCAGTTTGTGAAAGCCTTGTACATTACCTTCCGTGGCTGTGTGTTTGGGCTTGTCAGGAAAGCATTCGTTGCTTAAAGGCTGCTCATAAATTTCAAGTTCTGTTTATTTTGTACTAAAGTTAAATTATGTGGTTTAAACCCCATCATGGTGACAGGACAGATAAAGCATCCTGATTTACCTACTACAGTGCTTTAAAACTTTCCTTAAATTCTGCTGTTGAGCAGAGAGGATGCAGTTGCTAGGCCAAATGAACAGCAGGATTTAAGCCAATACAGTATTTAATGTTTCAAGCATAGAAGTGCAGATGGTGCTAATTGAACTTTCAGTGTATTTTTGCTTAATGTTAAAGAATGAAGCCATTAACTGCTAAAAATAATGCCATGGGCTCGTCTAAATGGTGGGTTTGTCAGAGGTGCTGTACCATGTGGGTATGGACACAGCCTGTTTGATGTTGATGCGAGTTTCAGGGTTTTTTTAATAGCCTTTTGTTTCTATGGCTTGCTGAACAGACTCCCTAAAACGTTCATAAGGCCTCACTGCCTTTATAAGATTTCTTCTTTCACCTGGGGACTGTGGGGAAATGACTTGCTACACCAAAGGAGTGAGTTAGGTTAGTTTATTAAGTAATTTTTCCTCGGTTTGCTTTAATAGCTTAAGTAAGGAAGCTCTAATGATGTTTTGTTTCTAGCTATTGTTGTACATAGACTTGCCCCTGAGGGGTCGTCATGTTAAATGGAGCACCCTACAGTGTTCTTTGCATTCTGCTTCTCACAAGTTGTAGTTACTTTGCCTGGTGTTAATTTGCAGCAGAAAATAACTTGCTTGTTTTATGGGGATGCTCTTGTTTCTTATTTAATGTGTGCTGCCGAAACATCCTATAATGAACTTGAATGTGAAGTTAATATACTGACTCTTGGCAGAAGCTTAAGCATGTGCTTCTGCTGGGTGATACAAGGATTCTGTAGGGCTGCACAAGATATAAAGCTTTAATGATTTATTTATTTCCCCTCCAGGGGATGGCAAAGGAAACAGAAACAGCATAACATAAAAAATTAGAGTGAGGCTGAAACTTGAGGCTAACTTGTTTTAATTATTTGCGATCTGTGTAGTATTTATTTAACATTAAGACTACCGCTTTGAAAGAAGACAGTCTCTTTATATTCTCACTGTTTGTCCCTTAAGCTAAGTGGTACTACTTCTGACTTTTGAGATGTCCTCTAGTAAAAAACAATTCTGGTGATTTTTTTTTGTCTTTTTATTAAAACATTAGCACTACTTCAGCAGAAAGCAAGAAACAGGCTAAAAACTTGTAGTGGAATAGTCTATAATCTTTTCCAGACTGACTTGGTGGCATCTTTGTTACATCTTTTCCTCTCTTCCCCAGTGCCCTCAAATTTGGTCTCCATCCTTTCCTCTTTGGGAGACTAAAAATGTAAAGAAAGCTTTAAAAAACTGCATTTTTTTTTTCAATCAGGACTAGAATTGAACATACAATTAGATTATGTCCTGATGAGCAACACAGGAAAGACTTTACTAAATGTGTACCAAAAAGTCTACCTAGAGTCGGGTATATAACAGCAAGCCTTAAAGTTTAGGTGCATGAAGTCTTTTAAGCTTAAAAGAGTTGCTTAGCTAAATTTTGGCATTGGGTGAAGTCACATGACTTGTCAGACTTGAGAAAAACATGCATTTGAAATAGAATTGAAGCTTAATGTTTTCAAACCATGGAATTTGAACTGTGAATATAGTTTTGGTGCCTACAGGAGTTGTTCCAAATTGGTCACGTCACAGGATGCTTTCAGATTACTTAATGCTGCAGGTTGAGCACCGGGTAGTGAAATTATCACGTGGCATGGCTGCTGTGGTCTTTTATTAATTTAAGAATAAAAATCATCTTAAGTCTGCAGAGCAAGTGTGTGCAGCAGTTATCTAGCAGTTGGTGGTGGTCACAGCTGTGTGGCTGTTGTCCTCCATGCAGGATAGTGTTCTGTGCTGAGTGCTGAGCTGGCAGCTTCAGCTGAGTCTGGCACTGTATATTACACCCACGTGAGCCAGCAGTTGTCCCTGCAGGGGTGCCGTGCCCCTGTGCGACTGTTGGTTGGGCAGGCATACTCAGAATAGGTCCTCTAAAAGTGGTACAGTCAGATTTGCTAGATCTAATCTGCCAGAGCCATTCTCTAGAAGCAGTAAGAAATGCTGCATCTGGTTTTAGCAATGAAATACTGATGTGATAGTGTGCTTTCTGGTAGTAAGTAGTGGATGTCATTGCCATGGCACCAGTGACTTTATTAGCCCATTTTAGGTCCTCTAACATGTGATCCACTGGGTAGTTAACTAGCTGGTAGAAACTAAGCATAAGTGTTGGGGATTTCTAAAAGTTTCTCTACCAGTTCTCTACATCAATGGCTTTCAGTTAAAATCAAGAGGGAGGAAGCAAGTTGTGACCTTATAAGTATATTTTCATTTCCTAGCTGACAGTGGCTTTTGGAGTTCAGATTCCCGTTATGCACATGTCATTGATGTGGTCTCAAAGTCTCCATGTCTCCTTTTTAAAGGCATTTCAGTAGTCTGCCAGTCTACAAAAAGGTAGCTACAGAGGACCTGAATTGCTTAATTTTAGGCTTCTACACAGACTGTCTGAAATTGGCTTTTGTCTCGCATTTATCTTGAAGCATTGCCAATGACTGTCCTATCACCTCCCTGTTAGTTTTGTTGGTATGTTTGAAGCTAAGGAACAGTGTAAGAAACTTGCTAAATTCACTTTTCGTGAAAGATAAGCTACATAGATGGTGTGATTCATATTCTGGTTGTCTTTCCACATCTTAAAATAATAAATTTCATCTCCAGAAAAGGGAGAGGGTTTCTAGGATTTCTAGGAGGGGGGGGGAAAGTTTTTGCTTTTAATTTACTAGTTAGAAGATAACTCATTAGCTTTTTTTCCATGAAGGTAAGTCCCAAATCTGTTCCACTTGTTTTGATTCAGTATAACTCTGCCTGATAGGCAGAATCTGTGTCTGATTGTTGCAGGAAGCAGGCCTGTTCCTTGAGTAATATTCAAGTATTTGGATTGAAGGCCTGTATTTGCACAGTCTTGGGCAGTGAGATAGGATGAATAGAACAAGGTAACAGCTCAGCCTTCTAGGTGCTTCCATCCTGCTCTGGTTAGCAAACATGCTTACCTTGCTAGACAGGCAAGGGAGTAGATGTGAGGTGTCCACTGGTGAGACAGCACCTTGAAGACTGTGTTCTATTTTGGGCCCCTCACTACAAGAAAGAGGTTAAGGTGCTCAAGCAGGTCTGGTGAAGGGTCTAGAGCACAAGTCCTATGAGGGTCGGCTGAGGAAACTAGGGATGTTTAGCCTGGAGAAAATGAGACTGAGGAGAGACCTTATCACTATCTGCAGCTACCTGAAAGGAGATTGTAGTGAGGTGGGGGTTGGTCTATTCTCCCAATGTGACAAGAGATAGGACAAGAGGAAACAGTCTCAAGTCACACCAGGGGAGGTTTCGGTTGGATACTGGGAAAAATTTCTTCCCCCAAAGGGTTGTCAAGCACTGGAGCAGGTTGCCCAGGGGTGTGGCTGAGTCACTATCCCTGGAGGGTTTTAAAAGATGTATAAATGTGGTGCCTGGGGACATGATTTAATGGTGGACTTGGCAGTGTTGGGTTAATGGTAGGACTTGATGATCTTGAAGGTCTGTTACAATCAAAATGATTCTATGATTGTGTGTGATACCTCTGCAGCCGTCAAAATAGGGATAAAGCAAATTCCCATTGTTATAAAATAGAGGATTAACCTTTAATTTTATCCCTCTGATTGATAGACTTACTTCACTACGTGTTCTTCGTATTCCCTGTGGAGCCTTGACATAGACGGGAACCTCTCAGTGTCTTAATTTTCTATCTTGAGACATTTCCATCTCTGTAAGCCGCTGCTTTCTTCCGTGAAGAGACTGAGGAAACGTTTTGTTGAAACACAGCTACAAAACCCCTGTACCATTGTATGTCTGCAACTCAAATGGAATGGGATTTAATAAAATATTATTGGACTAGGAAACCTAGATTCCATTCAACTGATTTGTGTGATTAGAAAAGTTAGGTTAAAGCTTTTGTTGCATGGAGTTTTTGGGCTTCTTTGTAGCTTAATACAAAACAGACTTTAGCCTTGAGAGATTAATAAAGATAATTTGTTTTTCCTCGGGACATTCTGCTGTCAAAGAATTGCTAAATCCTTAACAGTTATGAAAATAGACAAAGTATTAATGCTAGCTGTAATATGAAGTCACATTTTGCTGAACAGATTAATTTACTACTCTTCAGTGGTAGGAAGACTTGTGTGGCTGAATAAGGAAGTGTGAGGACTTGGGACTTGAGGCTTTAGTAACGCTCCTGTCACCACCAGCTTAAATGAGTTACTCTCAGTGGATCACTTCTTATTGTCTCAGCTTGATAATTCAGGTGAAAATTTGTTTCTTGATGCTCTTCCATCACAGCTAGTAGGAAGTCTCATATTTGGTTCTGATTTCCAAAACAAAAATGCTGCAATGCAATTCTCCCTGAGAGGTTCCTGGGTGTGAAATGTGCCATCCTCCCTGTGTATACTTTTAATGCTGCTGTGAATCTTAGTTCCTCAAACTTCTGCAGCAGTTTAGAGTTACTGTGACTAGTAACATATTTGGTGCAAGAATCCACAGGGCCTTGAAGAGAAATGTAGGTACAATGAAGTCTTCTACATTTTCCCTAAAAAGTAACTGTTGAACTCAACTATCACCTGTTAGTTGATACTGGTACTAATGCATGCTTTGTTGCTAGAAGTGCAAGACACAACCTAGTCTTCTAGAAATTTGAGAAAGAAGTTGATCTTTAATCTGCTTAAACTTTTCTTGATGTTTCTTTGTTTTGAAATCAAACACAATGCTGATTCATCTGGAATACACATTTGGCTGCTTCCTCTGAAACACAGGCAAGCAGTAGCTGGGTGGGTAGGGACTACTGCTTTGCTAACATATATATCTACTCAACACAAGCATAACCTCTTCACATTACAGTACAAAAAAGAAGGCCAGAATGTAACAAGCTACTGTAATGAGACTCTACCAGGATGGGTACATGATGTGCTTGGCCACAATTGGGGTTGTTTCAGTGGACAGAAGATCTCTTCATCTGCCTCAGATGTTCACATAAATGAACTACCTCTACAGAAGCCCAGAGGAAGGTAAGCAACAGATGAGTGAGCTGTTACTGGAATAAAATGTTTGATAACAGTGTTTCAGGTTACAGCTAAAACCATATGGACCAATTCTGTTGCTGAGGCCAAAGTTAATGCCAGTGATAATGTTGAGTAGAAACCTGAATGCACGAAACCAGAGGCTGTGCCTGTCACGGTTTCTCCTCCAGTCTGTGGTGAAGCCCAGTTACAAAACTAGCATGTCTAAAGAGGATGGTTATATCTAGTTAGTCTGATTGCAGAAACCTTGCCTTGACCCAATTATTGCATGTTTCTTTATCAGTACCTACCAGAAGACCCTTCCAGTCTTTCCTGTAGTCAGATTAGAGGACATCTTTACCTTTCAATCTGAGTTCTCACTGTTTGATTGCTTTTGTTTGCAGAGTTTCAAGCAGACGTTACGTGCACAACTTTGACTTTGTAGATGCTATCAATGCTCGTCAGAAGTCCTGGAGAGCAACAAGATACAAGGATTATGAAAACTTTGCCCTGGAAGAATTAACTAGAAGAGCTGGGGGTCTCTATTCCAGAGCTCCAAGGTACTAAAGCCTTTTGTTTTGCCATAAACCTCACTGCTGCACAGTATCTGCTTGTATTTGTCCTGGCTCTTCCTAGCTGTGTTTTGGCTTGTAGTTCAGATGTTTAATCAAGTTTCAAGGCCTTCCAGCTCATTTTCATGGAGTGCCAACATATTTCTTGATGTGAATAATTAATTCTAGCATCTGTTGTCTTAAGCAGTTGAGACAAATAGGGTCATCTACCCTTTGATCTTGCCTAGTAACTTGCTGCTGAATTTGTATGTGCAGGGAAAAATTTGGGACAGTCTCAGCGGTCGTCTCGTTCTCCTGTTTACCCATCAGCTGCTTGCCATAGTCAGGAGTTTCTGCTGGACCAGCTTCCTAGTTCTACTAGTTCATAATGGCAATTAAAAAGCTTTGAACTGCGTTCTATTATTAAATATGATTTTCCTAAGGGAATTATGTGGTTACTTTGATAACTTGCTATGCCTGCAACCAGGGTCCTCTAGCAGGAGTGGAGTGTCTCAGTGAAGAAGCATGAAGTAGCCCTGAGTGTGTCTTCAGGGTCGTGCAGATCGTGTGGCAGAGTGGTAATGGGGATGGACTTATGGTCCTCTACATTAATTTGAGAACTATAGTTCCTTGATCTGAAGATTCTCTTCTTTACAGCTGTTTTTACCTTCTTTGTATTTCTGCTTATTGCACTCTAATACTGCTGTGGGTAGGAACGCTGCTTACTTTTCCAAACCATGGTAATTGTAGAAGAAGGTCCTACTACACATTAAAATTTCTGATTTGGCTGGGAGTGTCACACAGATATGTTGGCCTTCTCTTGCTGTTAGACCAGAGTGTGTTGTCTGGTGTTCATGATTGGCACTTGATGACATGACTTGTGGGACAAGCATCAGGTTATGTGAACGCTGAGCACGGGAACCTCCTGGGTTCCTGATGTATGAGTGTGATTTGGCTGGAGGCAGTAGATGAGGACAGGTAACATTTAATGCTTTTTCAGTAGTCGCACTAAAAACTTGGTCCAGGGAAGTCTCTGGAGGAAGTGGGACTGCGGTTATTGAAGTGTTAACGTAAACCGTGTCTGTGTCTGTAATTAGTCTTCACTTGCTGTCAGTGCATGCTGCCAAAGCAAGAGGCCTTCTGCAGTCAGATGTTCTACGTACCTCATGATGGCAGGAGTGTAAAATAGCTGCTGCAGAGCTGTGTTGCTACAGTCACTGAGAGTTACCTCAGCACTTCACATTGGTTCAAAAGTATCTGACCCTCACCAGCCTGTGGATAGCTAATAATATAGTTCTCTCAGGAAGAGATTTTAAGAGGTCTTGCGTCCTGCTGAAACTAATCTTTTCAGATTGACACTCAGCCTGGATGGAGAATATTTCAAATTGCTTAGTGTGAAATAACTGCAGCTAAGTAGAAGCCAGATGACAACTGACTGTTAAGTGACTGTTTCCTTACCTAGAGTGTCATATGTTACTTAGAAGCATTTTCTCTTTAGAACAAAGCCTGCACCTCTAACACCTGAGTTACTCAAAAAAGTTTCAAGCTTGCCAGAATCCTGGGACTGGAGAAATGTGAATGGTGTAAATTATGTCAGCCCTGTCCGGAATCAAGGTAAAAAACCACATAAAATCAAAACTCTGAATGAAATGCTCTAGAGCTCCTTTGATGTACTTTGTAATTTGTTGTTAACAAGAAGGTGTTTTTTTTTTCTTCCTGGTGTCTTGCAGTTGACAGTTTGCACCTTTGCTATGAATAACCTGTGGAAACTGGGTGGCATCCTGGCTGACTACACTGTGCCAAAATAGGTGGTGGCACTAGCTTATCCAAAGAGCAATGTTTATTTGCTAGGGTGAAAGCTAATTACCACAGTGCCCTTCATAAAGACAGCTGTCAAGTTTTGCCCAGACAATCTCAGTCATGGTTTTCTGCATGCTGACAGAACTGATGTACATTTATTTTTCTGCTGATAGCAAATTGTCATGCAGCTTTAATGAATAAAACCATGAAAATTATTTAAACTACCTTCAAATCTTACCACTCTGATAACTTTAGGAGTTACTTAAATGGCTAGTTGCAAGTCACTGTGAAAAGTGTGGACACTGATAAATACAGAATACTTGTAAAAATGATATAATTTTTTTTTTTTTTTTTTTTTTTGCATTGCCATTGTGGTGAGTATTTAGCTCAAAGGAGACTTAAGGCTACCATTCTGGTATATGTTTATTTTATAGGGAGTGCTTTTGTAGCACTGTGGTGTGAGATACCTGAATTAGTATGTTCCACACGCAGGGCCTGGAATGGACTCAGCTGGTGTGTGTCCCTTCCCTGCTCCACCATTTCCAAATAAAGTTGAATCTACTGGTAGCTACCCGGTTGCAGTTCTGAGAGCAAGGGAACAGAACATTAGGATGGTATGAAGTGGGTGACTGGTCCCTCATTTATGGTTTGGTGGTTCTGCTGCATTCTGCATGCTGGACTCCTGGTAGCAGAAGAAACATAGGAAGGCGTATGGGTGTTCTAGATCACAAGTTGATACATGGCATTGCTGAAAGATGGCAACAGGAAATTATACAGTCCTATACAGATGTGAGTCCTGTGCTTTATCTTGGTGTGAACTGTGAATATCCCAAGGGCTCTTTTACCTTCCAGACTGTTGAAGAGTTGGTCCCAATCTTACTCTTTCTCCATTGTGGGCTTTCAGAGTTTCTCTAAATGAGAACTAGTTTGTTGTTTCAAATAATAAAGCTGCCCATTCTTTTCCTGTAACCTGAGAATCCATGCTGAATATGGTAAATATTTGTCTGTGGAATCCATATATTCATTAAATGTATTTTAGGTTTCAGGCTTTTGAAAAAAAAGACAAAACAAAACAAACAAACAAAAAAATAACCCCTCCAAAAGATGACCTTGTGCAAAATAGTGCTGACATGCAAATTAAGTCTTGGTTATGGTAGCTTGTATGATTTTTTGTGAGGCACTGGATATCAATGCTTCATTAAAATGTTGATATTAGAAAGTCTTAGTTTTATATCATTAAGACTGTTAGATAGCTTATTAGAAAATGCCATGTGGGAGAATGCTGCTAGCAGTAAGATGCAAGTTGCCTGGCACGGGGAGAGAGAACTGTATGAATTACAAGGTTGTGGCTTCCTAGGTCTCACATGCTTGTGGAGTCATTGCTGGTAATGTTCAGAGGAAGAAACAAACCCAGCATCTGAAGTGAACAAGAATCAAAAGGGAAATGTGCATTCTCTGTAGAATACCTTGAGACAGGACAGGCTTCATGCAAGCTGCAGTTGTCTTGGACTGCAGTATTCACTGCCAGCGTGTCCGCATCCTTGCTAGCACTTCCTGTAGTCAGGAAAGTAAAGCTTGAGTTCTTGGGTTCTTTATAGAGCAGTAACTGCATCTTTGAGCCAAGAGATGTGTTGTCTTTGAAAATAGTCCTGCTGTTGCTTGTTATCAAATTTACAGGGGGAGAAGAGGGGAAGCTACAGATTTTGTTAGCCTTAAAGTGCAGTTCCAATTTTTCTGACTTCTTTCTGCAAGGTTTTTCTGCAGATCAAAGTAGATGAAAAGTGTGGTCAGCTGATTCTTCACCAGATGTTTTATGTCTCCTCCATACTGCTCATCATGTAATGGTCCTTTGCAGTAAAGTGAGAGGAGTCTGATGTGGCTGAAGCTTTAATTGACTGGAAGAGAGTTTAGGAGAAGTCTCAGAAAAGCAAGTATTCTTGCAGATGTGCTGGCTCACTGCTGATACAGACTGTTGTGCTGCGGGCCTCACAAATACCACTGCAGTAGAAGGAAAGAAATTCAGCAACCACTCCAACAGAATTCAGACTGAAATGATTGTGTTCATTGTATTTTTTACATTTTTGCACACAAAATGCAACAAAGTGTTCTGCAGCATGGCCCGTGTCAGACGCTGCGACTATACAATGAGTGGGAGGCACCTTTCACTGCTTCAGTTTGCCCTGCTGGGCACAGAGCATTTATGTTCAGGCTGACTTTGTCCCTTCAGAGGTACGTCTAACTGAGAGAAGGTGCAATTTTGCAAAGTCTTGCTTTTGTACTAGCTCTGCTTTTATACACCTACACAGTTCAGGAGAAAGTATTTTGTTTTGTTCCTCAAGCCTCCCTCCTTTTCATAGCTCTGCAATATTTGACTTTCCCACTGTCAGGAAACAAAAGGAAATCAGGCACCTTGGTGACAATCAGTAGATAAAATAGGACCTCATCCAAGTAATTGTCCTTCCCTATGATGCTTGTCACTCCATTTCCAAAGGTTTTTAATGTGTTACAGGAAGCTCCTAGGGAGTGAAGAGGCCTAAAACTAGAAGCGGTACTAAATTTTGATACAAAAGTAAGGAGACTTAATGGTCTGCCAGGAAACAGAAGGGAAATTAAAGTGCATCTGAAAAGCCAGAGTACAAATTATATGCCCATAGGAAATAAGGGGAGCTGTGATGAATCCACCATGTCAAACCAGCTATTTATACCACTACACTCCCAAATGTCAGTTATTTTAAGGGTAGCTTAAGAGGTGGAATTTATTTTTTTTTTTTTTCACCTTGAAATTACAGCATTAAATCCACTGGTAGGTTGGAATAATCTACTAGAACAGCATTGCCAGTGTTCCCTTAAACCAGTCGATTGCCCCTTAGCATATGTGCTTCATAAAGGGTTGTAGTCTGAGGCAGTAGGCCATGAGCCCCCTCAGCCCTGCTGATGTGGTCCCTTGTAGGTTCATTCTGAAGGAATAGCATAGATCTTAATGATACTACTGGAAAACACTTAAGAGCAATATGTTGTCTTATTCTTGAATAAGCTCTGTGTTCCTTCAGAAATTGTTAGAGCCATTTTTCAGAATTGCATGATGAAAAGCTGAATTGATATTTAAAGTATCAGCGTCTAACTTCTGATCACTGTCACATAGGTTTTGACTCTTTTTGGTGGGCTCTAGAAACAGTTGTACCTGAACGCAGGTGACTTGCCTTGTTCATGTTGCTGACTGCTCTTTGTGGTTCCTCCTTCAGGCTCATGTGGCAGCTGTTATGCCTTTGCCTCCATGGGCATGCTGGAAGCAAGAATACGTATCCTCACTAACAACACTCAGACCCCAGTCTTTAGTCCTCAGCAGGTTGTGTCGTGCAGCCAGTATTCTCAGGGTAAGTACACTGGTGTACTCAAAGATAATTGATAATTTTCAGTAATGATAATGCTGCAGAAGGAGACTGTATATTCAAAACTTCCACGATTTCCCCATTACCCGTGGTTTATTTTTTTCATCTTTTCTTGAAAGACTGAAAAAAATATTCCAGAGTTGTCAGCTCACCTTACTGTAGGGACAGGGTTGAACCAGGAGTATGTGGCCTCATGCTCAGGATGTTGCTGGATTTTAGGTAGACCTACTAGGGAGATGGAGAATATTTAAAGAATAGGGCTAAAAATATGGCTAAATTGCAATGCATAGAAATAGTGGAACCAGATATCCTCCCAAAAGCATATTTGGATGGACAAGGTGCATATGGAGAGGGTGGGATGAGCAAAAGCAATGACTAAATTTTTCCAAAGGACAGGACTCATGTTAGGACATGTCTTTTTACTGCATAAAACTACTCTTCCTCATGAGGAAAAGCAGGAGCAATTGGATGAGGTGTTCCATGCATTAGTGTTGCCTCTGTATCTCCCATTGGTGTGAATTTTGCCTTGTGTGTTTCAGAAAGCTAACCAGAGCCAACTGGAGTATAATATTATCAGGCTCACTGCAGTTTGTGTTCAGTAATGTGTCTAAAGGTATTCCAAAAGACTTGAGTAGGAGACTCTCCCCCTTCAAAACTCTCCAAGGGAATAAGCAGATACTTTTTTTGTTTAGGTTGTGATGGTGGCTTCCCCTACCTCATTGCTGGAAAGTATGTTCAAGACTTTGGTGTGGTGGAAGAAGACTGCTTCCCTTACACAGCCCAAGATTCTCCATGCACTTTCAAGCGCAGCTGTTACCACTACTACACTTCTGAGTACCACTATGTTGGTGGTTTCTATGGAGGCTGCAATGAAGCCCTTATGAAACTTGAGCTGGTTCTCCACGGGCCAATGGCTGTTGCCTTTGAGGTTTATGATGATTTCATGCTGTATAAAGAGGGGATCTACCATCACACTGGGCTGCAGGATGACTTCAATCCTTTTGAATTGACTAATCATGCTGTCTTGCTGGTGGGCTATGGTACAGACCCAAAAAGTGGTGAGAAGTTCTGGATTGTGAAGAACAGCTGGGGCACCTCATGGGGAGAAGAGGGTTACTTCAGAATCCGACGTGGCGCTGATGAATGTGCAATTGAAAGCATTGCAGTGGCTGCAACTCCTATTCCAAAATTATAAATGCAGAGCTCTTCATGCAGTGCCTTGTCCCAACAATAAGAACGTACTGATTGTTAGAAACTGCAGGTAAAATCTGTCCCCTAGCTTGAACAGGGGAGCTGAACGAAATTTTCCAGAACAGAGCAAGCAGTTCCCTTAGATGAAAGGATGAACACTGTTAGTTCTGCTCTGTGCACTGAAGGCTTCCTCTCGAGCCTGGCAGTAGGTGACCTAGAATACAGTGGCTGTAACTGGTGATAGTTGTGCATCCCTGGATGGACATCTTCAATCACCAGTTGCATTTTCTTCTGTGGACAATCTTGAACTGCAGACCTCAGAGGGAAGCATCTGCTATGATAATGTGAAAGTAGTTGGAAAGGACATTGGTAGTGCCTTACTTCTCTGAAATAAGGAAATCACTGCAGTTTAGAACATCAGTATGCATTGGGGAGGGAATGAGCAATTACACTGATTTAAAAGGAGATTTAAAAGCTTTAGGAGTCCTGCAAAAACTGCATGTCAATCCCTTATGACAGTAAAAATCAATTCTACATTTCAGGCTGTTACCAAATGTTTCAGTTCTGGATTTTATTGCCATGCTTTGCAATTGATCATGTCAAAGTTCAATAAAAATTAACCCCTTCCTTTAGGCTTTTTTACTTGTGGAAGTAGTTGGTTCTTTATTTCAGTGGCCTGTCTTAAGTTTTGAACTTCCTGTTAAGAACTTTTAGTTCTGCAGGATCTAAACTGGTGGGGAAGGAAGATGAGAGGGGGAGGAACCAGGAACCATCCAACTGAGGCCAAGATCTCTCACCAAGATTAAGCACAGTTGTCCAGGTGTCTCATAGTCCTTGCTGAGGGTATGGGACAATTCATTGAGTAAATTAGTTTATTCCTCAGTAATCCTGCTTAAGTCCTCCCTCTTAATCTGGTGCCCTATTCCTTTCAAACACACAAGGAAGAAGAATTAGTTTGAATTAGGGCAATAAAAATAAATCTGGAAATTGCTTGAAACAATCAAGAGTAGAAGATATTGTAGCCTGTGCTTTCATTTTTGTAAGATGAGACTTTGCTGCAGTGTGAAGCCAGCAGTGAGCTTCCTGCTGTGCTGGTACTGCAGCTATGCAGCTTGACCTGACTTGGATGACAGCTTCTCCGTACATAAGCAACCATGTTATAAATGTAATAACCAATGTAAATTTTCAGGACGTGCAGAAGATGTTCTTTGTGTAGGTGATCTTCAGGCTTGTCCTGCCACCTTTGAGTGCCCGTGGTTTCACTACAGAGATACAGTGGGTTTTGAACGTCCCCTGCACTTGGAAGTGCTGATTCTTAATAAGCAGGTATCTTCATGAACATATGGCTTTATATGGATGTGCTGGGTTCTTGGGTTTCATTAACAGCTGTAGCATTTTAGGTTCCCCTGAAAATAAGGATATAAAAGCTATGTATTTTTTACTATTTTTATTATCCTTCAGCCATTAGGAAATCAACTCATTATCGTGGAACTGCTGCTCACACTCATGGCACTATGAATGTAAAAATCTTAGCTATACATATCATGTTATCTACGTGTGTTTTGAGAAAGATTGTGTGTTATTTTCTTAGAAGTCCCATGTCTGTCTATCTGTCACTGCTTGTGTGTGGCAGCTGCAGTGGTGCAACATGAGGAAAGGAGAGTTCTCAGCGTGGTCTGTCACCATCATTGCCCCCAGCGACTGTCATCAGACGTACTCGTTTGCCTCTGGCTGACTGTGGTATGTGACTGTCCCTGTTCTCTATTTCAGAGCTGCACAGAGAAATGTCAGTCAGCCTGATGGAGCTAGTATGTGGGCAACATGACATTTGGATTCTCAACTTCTGTTTGGGATTGTGGGCCAAGTACAGAAACCACATTTAGGGGCCATAGGCTGAATACTAGCCAGAGAATCTCCTTCATGGGATCCCTTCAAGGGATGCAACTGCAAGAACTGATAAACCTTAAAGTGAGGAGGTACCACTCCGCTGTGACACAGCTTCACCTGCTAGTATCCTTCCAGCTCCTCAGAAGTTGAGAGATGGGGCTAAGCTTGGCTGTAACGAGTACAGAAGACTGAAAATAAATTATTGCCTACAAAGTAAGCAAAATAGGGAAGTGGCTCTCTGCAGCTTCAACTCACCTTTTTTTAAGAGTGTAGTTTATATGGCTTCTGCCTGTGAATGATGTATGTCATCTAGAGGAGCTTCCGATAGGAAACAAGCTATTGCTCGGGAGAGTAATTACACGTTTGGCAACCATGCCTTGTGGTGAGCAAGTAGGGGCCCAATCTGTTTAATTTACGAGGGAAGGTTAATAGATAATGTCACAGCTGATAAATACGTAACAGGGGAAACAGGGGTGATCATCAGCCCAGCAAACATTAAAAGTTTGATGTTTTGAAAATTAACGCTTGCAGAGGACAAGTAAGCTATCACTGTTTAACAAAGAGTGTAATAAATCCTTAAAATCTGTCAGGGGTGGTGGTGGAGGTGGAGGCTCTGTCACTGGACCTGGGTTTGGAGTTCTAGTTTGAGCATTTCCCCTGGCACAAGAATTGTTCAGGGAGTCCTGTGATTGGTTTATGAAGGAAGCATGGCTGGGTCATGACTCTTCCTTGCTTTGTGATCTGAGACCTTGAAATAGAAGGGGACTTGACTTCTAAAGTCAGTTTAACTTTGCACCATAAACTGCATATAAAGCCACAGCAGATACTTACCTAGATTTATACAAATTGCTGAAATTAGGACCTAGTAATTTTACAGTTGTATTGATCCAAGGGTCTTGGGAAGACAAGCAAAACCATTGTGTGCACATGTCCACCACTGGACCCTATTAAAATAGCAAGCCCTGCAGAATACTGTGCTTTGGTGGCAGCTTTTTTTTAATGACCTACACTTCACAAAATCATAGGATGGTTTGAGTTGGGAAGGACCTTAAAAATCATCTGGTTCCAACCCCTTACCACGGGCAGGAACACCTCCCACTAGACCAGGTTGCACAAGGCCCCATCCAGCCTGGTCTTGGGCACTTCCAGTGCTGGAGCATCTACACCTTCCCTGGGCAACCTGTTCCAGTGTCTCACTACCCTCATAGTGAAGAACTTCTTCCTTACATCCAACCTTAACCTCCCCTCTTCCAGTTTGAATCCGTTACCCCTCATCCTATCACTACAAGCCCTTGCACAAAGTCCCTCCACAGCTTTCTTGTAGGCCTGCTTCAGGTACTGCCTATCTAGGGAAGACTAAGGAAGCATTTTTTCAGTAGTGTCAGTCTACAAAATATCCTTTACCAAAATTTTCAGTTTTCACTTTGTCATTCTTCCCTTCCCCTCCCAAACAATGTAGCAGGGTATTTATTCCCACCAAATCATCAATTTCTTCAGAAAAGCTGTTTCTGGTATGTGTTAAAATTGCCTTTAAAACATCAAAGCTACCACTAATTTCATTTTCACCTCAAATGGATGGGACGTCCTTAACTGCTGTAGGTGATCAGCAGGGATAGAGCCTCTGATACAGCTGGGACTGTCTCACTTTGGGTTGATAGAGCGTTGGAAATGGTGTGGGCTCCAGAATGTGCTGAGGAGCACAGCATAATACCGGGACCCTCTCGGGGATGTGGTGCAGTAATGGGTGAGGAAGGAGGGTTTGGGAGATGCCTGTGCCCAGGTCTGCTGCTCTCACTCTGGGAGCTCTGGGCTGTTTCGTGGCTGTGGGGCCTTCCGGTTGAGGGTGGCCTGAATCTCCTGTGCGGGGTGCCCATCCCCACTGAGCGTCTCATGGCACAGCCTCACTAATGCCCTTGGTGGCAGCACTTCAGCCGCGAGGAAAACAGCCCTTGAATTGTAAGATGACGTGCACTGGCTGGGTCAGAAAGCCTGTGGGTGCTAATGCTCTTCTAAGCAGACTGATTCATGGCTAATTTGACTTTTCCACCACAGTGCATTATACGTGGAGACTTATCTGCCTACTTTAAAAAAGAAATGATCTTAACTTGAACCTTGAATTTGAAATTTGGAGGGAGGGCCCAAGCATATTTACAAAAAAAAAAAATCTTTACATACACTGAATGATATGATGAACACTGATAACTGAAGAACAGAGGGTGCACTTTAAGATATATATATGTGTGTTTATACTTGAAGTGATCCCTGAGACCTCTGACTTTCCTTATTAACTAGAGAATATTTTTAAGGGCTGTGGAGAAGGTTTGATATCACTTTAGCAATACAGGTGATGAATTTTAAGTACTGTCATAAGCACCAAAGATATTAAAAGTGATGTCTTTGCCCTAGGAGGATTTCAGAAGTTAGGAAAACACTGTGCATTCTTAAATATCCAGCAGTTCCAACCCTGATGCTCTGCATGTAAGGTGGAAAAAAATTCCAAAAATATTAGCTAATTGTACAGAATTGTTACAATTATATTTAACATAGCAAATATATACAGTGTGTGGATTTTTAAAAGGTCATATTATTGTGTTTTCTATTACTCTATTTACTCAACACTTATGACAGTAATATAATATAAAATTATGGCTTCTTCTATTGCTCAGTTTATCATTTATCCAGAATAAATAGGATTTGGGGTCTGGACTGTACATGGGATTCCCTGAGACTTTTCCTCTCGTGACTAGTGGAGTCCCTCAGGGGTC